GCTGGCAGGGGGCTATAGGGGTCAGCCTGCCCCCCTGGGCCTGCTCCAACTCAGTTCAATGTGCTGCAGAGGGGCAGGCTGGGGCACGAGGATGCTACAGCATGGGGATAGACAGCAGGCAGACCTGCACTGTAGCACCCTTGGACCCCAGCCAGTCTTGGTCAGCATCTAACACGTGCATTGCAGTGGACTAAATCACTCTACCATAGGAAGACAAGGTTCCTTGGGTGAATTTGATATCTTTTATTAGACCAACCCAAATGGTTGGAGAATAGTTATTAAGCAAGCTTTCGGGTTCAAAAACCCTTCGTTAGGCAGAGGAAGTGTCAGCAGTTGGTGTGTGCTCTTCCTGGATGGAATGAAAAGTAAACAAGCCAGGGGCTGGGCTGGGCTGGGCTGGGCTGGGGAGTCAGTTGCCAGGCAGATTATAATGTATCAAAAATCCAATGTCTATGTTTAGTCCATGATCTCTAGTATCCAGCAGGTTGATGAAATGGAGCTCATAGGCTCGTCTCTGGGAAGTGTTGTGTAAGTTTCCCTTGAGGATCAGGACTGAGAGATTGGAGAGAGAGTGGCCCTCCTGTGAGAAATGTGCCCCCACCGGTAATTGGGTGTTTCTGTCTTTGATGGATTTCCGGTGTGCGTTCATTCTGGTGCGCAGTTGTTGTTTGGTCTCTCCTACATATCTTCCATCAGGTCATTTGGTGCATTGGATGAGGTATATTACATTTCTGGAGGTGCAGCTGTAAGATCCTGGGATGCTGATGGCTCTGTTGTGGGGTGTAGTAATAGTGGGGGGGGTGGGGATGTGTTGGCAGGTTTTGCATTTCTTGTCCTGGCAACGTCTGGATCCTTTTGGTGTGTTCTGGGCTTGAGGAAGTTTGCTTCTGGTGATGAGGTTGGCAAGGTTCGGTGCTTGTTTGAAGGCTAGGATGGGTGGCTCTGGGAAGATCTTTTTAAGAATAGGGTCTCTTTCTAGTATGGGTTGCAATTTTTTGAGGATTTTCCGTACAGGTTCAAGGGAGGGGTGATAGGTCATAACCAGCGGTGTGCGATTTGTGGGTGTTTTACTTCTGTACTGCAGCAGTTCTTCACGTGGTATCCAGGTGGCTCTTTCAAATGTGCGATCTACCTCTCTGGAGGAGTGTCCTTGCTGGGTGAAAGCCTTTTTCTACCATAGGAAAGTACTTAAGTTGGGCAGTGCTGTCCTACAGCAGAGTTAATTAGTTTACTCTGGCCCAAGAACGCCGCACATATAGACGTTGATGCTTTACTGCAGAGCTAATTAGGTAGCTCAGCAGTAAGTGTCTCGTGTAGATGCACCCTGTCTGAATTACAAAAAGAAATAATAAAATATATCAATGTCAGGATTTAAAATTAACTGTGAACAATCTGAACTTCTAGACACTGGTGTAAGATCAGACACAAAAGGAGATAAAAGATAGCTATAAATATAACTGGGTAACTACTTCATTAAATACTTAGGGTGTGCATATTACTAAAAATGGCAGGACATATACAGTTCTAATTATACGCCTTTGAAATCAAAATAGACTTAGAAAACTGGTCAAAACATGAAATTTTATGCTTAGGTAGAATCACAGCAGTTAAATAAATATTTAGCTCAAATTCATTTTCTGTTCCAAACTCTACCTATTATAGTGTAAACAAATCTCCTAGATGACTGACATACTATGATAAATAAGTTTATCTAGGGAAATAAAAAGCCTAGATTTAAAAATTCCATCCTGAAAAGTCCTCAGCAAAAAGAGGGGACAGATGCTTCCAAACATTAAATCTTATTACAAGCCAGCCAACTTAGGTTTGGTGTATTGGATAACATCAATTAACAGTAAGCACTGGGTAAAGACAGAGCAAATATACTGTCCAGCAGTCAAACTCAACATACTACCATGGCTAGAGAAATCTTTCAGGCCAAGCTTCATATATAATCACTCCTTTATGAGAACAACAATGAAAACTTTGGATAACATATATGAAATTGAGCTCAGACCTATTACTTTTAGCACCTGTACATAATAATATTGAATTTAATTCTAATAATTTATGAGAAAGCTTAATATATTGGAACATATTGGTATCATACATTTTGGACAATTATTCAAAGAAAAGCTATTTATAGCTTTTGAACAAATACAATGTTATGCAGGGGACATTAAAATCCCATTTTCCCAATACCTGCAACTGAGATACTTTTCAACACACTCCCAAGTAAAGGTAGAAATCTGACAGAATTTGAAAAAATATTGGTCACTCCTATGAAACACAGTGAAGCATACTATGTTATGTAAAGCAATTTTCAATAGTCATATAGAAGAAAAAAACACTGTTTTTGACAAGGTGGGGTAGTAACTGAATCAGAAATCAGTGGAATATGGGAGACCATTTGGAACAATGGGTCTCATGCATCCCTGTACACAGTAATAAAATTATTTTAAAATCCTTTATTAATGGTATCTCACCCTACTTAAATGCATTTATGGTAAAGATCCAGGCAAATGTTGAAGGGAGCGTGGTCAGTTGGGAGGATTCTATTATGTGATGGAGGTGTCCCAGAATCAGTTCTGGAAGAAGGCTGGAGGCATGGTGAGGGAAATAACATGATGCCAACGGTCAGATAACCTCTTTTTTTTTTTTTTTTTATTAAACCTTCTCAACAACTCTGCAACATAAGTGTCATAGGGAATTGATCACGCTTCTACTAGTAGCTCACGAATTAAAATTGCAGAAGCCTAAAAGAAAAGTGATACCTCTAGAGTCACTGACAGGGTTGAAAAAGTTTGGGATATTTTAGTAATGGAAATATCCCATCAAGTCAGTGTTCTACAGGGGAGAGGCAAAAAGATGCTTACTGGACAATGTGGTGGAAATTTTTGGGATTTGCTAAAAAAGAATATTCTCTTGCCTTTCAAATAGAAAATTTATAAACTTTTTTGAATACTGAAGTGGAAGTTCTATGAGCAAACACTTAAGAATAAATTTTGAATAAACTTCACAATTAAAAACAGAGATGGGAAGATAATGAGATGCTTGTTATACAGAGTTATAGGGAAAAGGAAGGAGCAAATTATTGTATAGAGATGAAGAAACACAGGCTTGGCACCAATGGAAACAATTAAGGAACTGTTAGAGCAGGGAGAAGGGAACACAAAACTTCTATGGACATTGATATGGGTTGTAGTAGCACTATTGGTAGAAGATTAATGTCTATCTGTGTATGTTTTGGAGTATTGGATGCGTTTTTGAAAGTTAAATTTGTTATTTTATGGATTAGACTCAATGCATTTAAAAAAGAAAAGAAAAAGGTATAATTAATTGTATAATATGTGATCATTTAAAAATACAATTTTAAATGTTAAACCTTTGATTATTATGTAAAAGTCAATTATATTTCAACTAAAGATCAAGAAAGATTATTAGTGTTCAGACTGAAGCGTGCTGTTAGACTTATTTCTATTTTTCTCCTGTATAACACCAGTGAGTTATTTTTTCCAACTGGTATGACACCAGTGAGACAGTGTCCAGATGAGCACAGCCAGGAGATACATGGTGCCATAGACATGTCTGTGGTGCCACATACTGCATATTCAGTTGTTCTCCACATGGCAAGGGAGCAGTGCGGAGGGTTTTTTGACCCTAGGCTCCATGCTGCAGCATCGCCACTGCTGCAGCCCTGGGAGACCCCCAGGACTCCAAGTAAGGCTGCTGGGGCCAGCCCAGTGCTGGCCTCAGCCTCCCTTACCCCACCCACGGTAACCTGGTGCACACCAGAGTGCGTGTGGCACAGATCTTCCCCAGGGACAACTAGTGGTGGCACAAGGTGCATTGCTGCTAGTTGTCCCCGGGGAACCAAACATGCATGCACGTCTGGATGTGGCCTGAGTACAAGATAAAACCAGACCAAAATATTAACAGGAAGAAATTTCCTTTTACCATTCTAATGAGAGTTTCTTACTCTACCAGATTTCTTTAATCACTTCTAATGTTCTTACTGAATTGATTGTTGCAGTTACATAAAAACTAATTGCAAAAAAGTCTTTGGAGGATTTTTTGAAGTAATATGCATAAAACTAATGAGGACAATGAAGCTGGATGCTGCAAAAACTGTTCCTGAAACAAAACCTAAAATATTGGTTGGTTACCTATCTGTACAAAGTCTGTTGGTCTGGGACAAGCAGAAAGAGCGATGGAAATTACACCAACAAATGGGCTGTAACTACCAACAAGTCTAGGGATACAATTAAGGGAAATCATAATGGGCTTTACAATCATTTATCTCTAGGTCACCAGTTCAGGTTTAAGCCAGATGGGCAAAGAATGACCTGTAACTACCCTATGGCAACAAGTATTTAGATATGGACCAAAATAAATGCAAAAATCTAGAACTCTTGGTTCCAAAATGATTCCTTTTATTTTATATAATTTTGGAACCAAGAGTTCTAGATTTTTGCATTTCTTTTTGTCTCAGACCAACACAGCTACCACATACATCCCTGAAACATATAGATATGGACTAGTAATCTCAGTTCAGGTCTTGGGGGGCCTACACCTTTTCTATCAGAACCTGTACCACAATAGTGTTTGAGCAACTTTCGCAAGATAAAAAGACAATGGTCTCATTTGCACTTTCTTTACCACCCAGAGGCATGATTTGTGTTTTTTTTCTTAATCTGCAAAAATAAGCAGACTTTGTGGAAAGCTGTTTAAGGAGATAAACTTTACATTTACCTGTTAATGGACGGTTTGTTGTCATTCTCCTCTCTCCCAGTAGCAAATTGTATTGAGATGGGCTCCTGTGAAGGTTATGCCTATTAGTTACAATTATTCAATAGCTTTATTGTTCCAGGGGCTGGCAGCTGTGATGGACATGGAAGAAGGTTATCCTTTAGATAAGCTAGGACAGCTCCTTTGCTGATTTAAAAAGTAATAAAAAAGAGACAACAACCTTAGACTGGATTCTGTTCAATACTGAAAAATGAAAGTATGCTCATGAGTTGGAGAATTTAAGCATCCAACACAGCTGCAGGCTGCTATACACAAGGCATGTTATAGTCTTCAGTCTCTACATGCCACCATAGAATGAGCAGTTAGGACACATGGGACACATCTACATGAGACACTACTGCACAGTTGCTACTGCGCAGTTATTTAGTACTTGTATTAGTAACTACTAAATAAATGCGCAGTAGCGCCAGCAAACATCTTTTAGGCGACGCTATTGACCAGTAGTCTAATAATACTATGTAGAAGCATATTAGCACTGTCTGTGCTATGAGGTACTACTGCACAGTATTTTTCAGCTACTGTACAGTCAGTGTCTCATGTAGACGTGCCCACACTAGAGCAAATTACTTTTGCCAAGATCCTTAGTTGAGAAAGAAAAAAGAAACCCCCCAGTATTGATTACAATGTGGAATTTAAGATTTAAAAAAGGGATTGATTAGAGTTAGTTATGAGACATTTCAGCCTAAGCCAATTTCTTACAAAGAGATTAGTTGAGACTTAAGAAGGCAAAATATCTCACACTCATCTCCTGTTATTTTCCTCTGAAGCATTTGGTAATGGCTACTATCAGAGACAGAATACTGGAATAAATGATCTTGTTGCTATCTAACATGGCATTTCCTAGGCTTTGTAACTCAGATAAAACAAGTCATCTATATTTTGGATTTACTGGAAAGTTAGAAATAAAACAAAAAAAAAAACCATCTTGTGTTGCACATGAAAAATTAATACATACCTGAGACTAATTAAACTATTTGGTTAGTGAAATACAATTTGGAGAGCCTTCTCCCTTAAGTACCAAGCAAGTTGCAACATTAAAACAAAGTTAAGACAGACACACAGTACAACTGCCTAAGAACAGCAGACAGAGGCAGGAGAAAATTTTATAAAAAAGTATTGGCTACATCATAATAATGAAAAGAGTTAAGTTTCTGTTGTTGGGATTGTTAAAAGCAGGGGCTTGTTATGAACAGGTTCATTATGAAGTTGTACTTTATTATGTACTTGGAAATGTTATTTTAACTGTCTTAAGTATAGTTATAAACTTGTCTGCAGAGGCTAGTTCAGAAGGGTTATATTAAAATGCCTTCAAAATCATAAGGTTTGAAAAGGCAAGCAATTAAATATTGAAACTATTTACTATCATTGCTCTGGAAGAGGAGGTGGTTCTATAGCAAAAAGGCAAAATGTTATCTTGTAATTAAAAATAGTATCATGCTGCACAAATTCTATGGAGCCACCTGAAGTTACACTGGTCACTAATTTTGGCACTTCCTAACTTTTGACTTCTTGACTTTGCAACCTGAATTTTTTTCAAGTCTGTATTTGTTTATTTTTTTATTAAAAGAATGGGGGAAAAACGATCCTACACTTCTCACACCAATTCTGTTACCTGGACCTGTTTGACCCTCTCTGGAATGGAAAGATACACATTTGCCTGTGGGATTCACAGCTATTTGCCAGACAGAGAAATGTTGAGTGTCAAAAATTCACATGCAATTGTGGCATCTGTAGGGTATTATATACTAACATCCCTATTGTAATCTTTCCACTATTCTCAATCCCTTTCCTGTGCATTTGCCCACCCCTAGCCCTGATTTACTCCCAGCCACCTCCTATATCCGATCTCCTACCTGCTTCTATCCTTCCCAACCTACTCTGACACCTTTTCCTTTTTCTCACCTTGCTCCTAGATACCAGCAAGGGAGGGCAGTGAACACACAGAAGTCTCTCTCTCTTCCAGTACCTAGTGCTAGAGTGGCACCTGGCAGGAGTAATAACAGAAATACTCCTGGCTTAACCCCAACAGAAATGCTCTGTCAGTTTGGGGAGTAGTGTTTCTGCAGCCTGGTTGTTGCAAGTTGGTGAGGATAAAACATTTTAATCATATGGAGTGTTAAAAATATTAATGCTCAGCCACTTTGCAAGAGGGGTAGCAGTAAATATTCTTGTGGACATTGAGTCTATTATATGATTTCTTGCAGTTCCAGGGAATCAGACGCAATGAACCATCAAGTAGTCTTTTCAGTCCTACACAAATCCTTTTTCCTATTTGGGATGTGCAAATCCTGTAGACCAGAGTTGCGGAAGTCAAAAATGAGTTGGCAGCCAAATCCAGCCTGCAGGGCTTGGTGCAGGCCCAACAACCTACTTTCAAATCCAGGCTGCTGGGCTTCTTGTTGCAGCTGCTACAGCTGCTGTGTCAGTGTGGCCAGCATATGTGGGTTAATGTCACTGATTTGTGTGCCTAATGGTAACTGAAAATCAGAAATTTGGTGGCAAGTAAGGGGCAGAGTAGCATTAACCCCATACTCTCAATGCCAGTGATATTGACAGCAGCTGTGGGAGTAGCAGTAAGAAGCCCTGTGGGCTGGATTAGCAGGTGAGTTGTTTTGCCAGAGAAGCACTATGGATCAGATGACCCACCTCCAGGGGTCAGATGTCTGACAACCCTGCTATAAATCACACTTTTGTGATTGTAACACTTCCCTCTCAATTCCTACTAAAGAACCAAACTCTGAATTAAAGTTCGCAAATACAGGTTAATAAGTGTACAGTCCCAAATACACTTACCTTTCAAATGAATGCACACCACACACATCCAGCTGTCTTTGTTTATGTTTTATGTGAAAAACTTATCCAAAAGAACCTACATTTCTGCAACAAAGATGCAACCATTGCAATATACAAATAAATACTTTTACACATTTGAAAGGGAGTACAGAAGCCGAAAAGCTGAACATTTTCTTAGAAAGTATTTATATTGGTGCGCATATTCAAAAAGCTGTGCGCACGTTTGAATATTTTCTTACAGTTCCTAAGGATATAGAAAAAACATATTTTGCCAAGTGACAAAATTTAGCAAAACCTGACAATCAGAATCAATCAAATAACCCAACATTTTCAGTTTCTGATTGAAATATAAATATACTCCCCCAATACAATATGCAGCCTCTTTCTATTATGTCTAAAATGCCTTAAGCCCCTGATTTAGCAATGCAGATAAGCACGTGCTTAAGACTCACTGATTTGTAGCAGTATTCCATGCCTAAAGATAAGAGTGCACATAAGTGATTTGCTGAACAGATGTGAAGAGTCAGGAAACCAGCTAGGTTTCCTAAAATTCTGTTCTAGTAGCCTAGTTTGCAAAATGAGTAACCACAGGTTACAGCAAAGTGAGACTGTTATAGAAAGTTACAGCCAAATTAACAGGGTGAAATCTTACATAGTTTATGTAAACATAAGCATGCTATATCATGTTCAATCTGCAAATTTCATATAAGGTTTTAATAGACAACAATTTTTTTCAGGTGAGAAACTTCATCTATTGGTGTGTTGGCATGGGTGGCTATAGGGTCATTTTCTGAATTAGGTAACTCGTCTTCTACAGATGTTTTATTTGCAGCTGGTTCTGTAATTTCAGCACGCAACATCCGCTCCAGTCTCTGAATACCTGCAGAAAGGAAAATATGGTTATTAAAGTTTTCTCCCTCCACCACTGCAACAGAAACAAGGTTGAGTTTTTAGCTGGCCTGTGACAGCCAGAACCAAAGAAATTAATAAGCAATAAATACGTGCTTCTTGGAGGCATTTGGAATTTTGTCTAATATAAAGCTTGTAAGTTTGTAACCCACAAATGTAACTTGCCTGTCATAAGTTTAACTAAAACGATAAAACTAACTGTTTGTGGAACTGACTGAACCTCAAAGACAAAGCTACAGCTGTAAGATTAGCTGACCTAATGGTTTTTGCTCAGAGTTCAGCCTTGATAAAAACTGGATTCAACCACCTGGCATACCCAGCATATTCTAGGAAAGCACGTCTCAAGAAAGCATAGTCAAGAGAAATCTAAAGGGGCTGGATTTACGCGGAGTAATGTTAATTTCAAACCTGAAGATGCTGCATTGTAATTTGCTTATTGGATAAACCCAAGTCTGGGTAGTAACCTTTTATAATAATTTTAACACCTTTTAATCCCATAGGGTAACAGCTATAGGGCAAGACTGTGAGTGGCTCTAAAACCAACAGATTGGCATAAGACTAGTTACAAAAAGCGCGCGTGTCAGGTGACCAGTAGGAAGGAGGGAACAGGACGGTAAATGCTTTTCCAAGCTCGGACCCAAACTCCCAGTGCAAGTGAGGATCGGATCCTGATCAAGGGATCTTCCCCAGTAATCACTCTTACAGTGTCGATCGGGGACGCCCGACTTTGCTGGAATCACCTGGCGCACACCTGGTATTGAGGGACTATCAATAAGTTGTCAACCCATGTCCGTCTATTCGTTGTTTTAAACAGCCCAGTGGCTGATACCATCGTAGTGCCCAGCTGGCCTGAGACAGATTGATCTATTAATCTGTTGTTATTATTTACTATTAGCTCTTTAATACTGCATTATCTGCTATTGCATTTATCTTTTTGTTAACTGTTGTGTGTGTGTAAGCTATAATAAATTCGCTGTTGCTTCACTCTCAACTCTGCTTCCTCGATCCCGAACCAAACAGCCCAGTGGCTGATACAGTTGCAGTACCCAGTCAGCCTGCAACTAAATTGATATACTCACAGTGCCCAGCTGGCCTGTGACAATGGCCATACCCATATATTTAAAACAGCTTGTTTGAACATTAACTTTGCAATAAAAAAATATTTTTCATATGCTGCAGATCCCTTTCTATAGTTTTCAAATTGGATGTACAGACCAGTTTGAGAACTCTAGGGATTAGGAGTTCTGAATGGACTATCAAACATGCACACTGGTTTGTCATAAACTAAGAGTAAAACTCAACTTACACAAATACATCTTATCTGCAGAATCTGAGAAGACCAATCTAAACCATCCAGGCTCAGAGCAGCAAAAGGCTTTTCCAGGACTAATAAGGAGTTTTTCATGAAGGAGCTTCCACCATAACTCCATTTCAGCTTCAAAAGTCTGTGTTTTTAAGAACTAAAACATGGAAGATACAAATTACATTAAAGGATGCAACAAAATCAACCTCACAACCCCTTGCAAATTGTATTTCAAATCAAGGCTTGAAGGATGGGATAAGTCAGAGCAGTCAAATCCTTGCACAACCCTGCAGAGGTTTAGGCACCTCTGCAAGTAGAATCTGAAGCTTTCTGATTAGCAGTTCCTTTGCCCAGTATATTGCAAAAGGATTATATTGCAAATCCAGCCCTTTCAGTCTACAGTGCTAGATTCACACTCTGCTGCTAAGGATATTATATAGGTGTTACCAGGTCCCGCTGCTGCAGCTAGACTGGTACCAGCAGCCAGGCTAACTCTAAATAGCTGTAGATTGCAGTAGACTGCAAGCTTCTTAGTGCTGCAATAAGCAGAGCTGCTACAATTTTCTCAAGGTTTCCTGAGAAAAGAGCTTGTCTTCTTTTTTGCATGTGGGAAGGAACTAAAGGTCAACAGCTGATTGATTTAGCTCATCTCTAATGGAGTGTGGGCAGCTTACCAGCCCGAGTGAAAGCAGTGCCCAGGCTCTAGTCTACACCCACAGCCAGGCCAGCTAGCCCAGGTTTAAAGCAAACTTGGGTGAAAGGACTGTATGTGGAGGGCAGATGAGTTAACTGTTAAAAGACAATGTATTGGGGTTCTCCTGCTAGGAGAATTACCACTTGCCCGATAGAAAGTAGGAGCATACAACCATTTGTTCAATTTCTCCGGGGGCAAACATTCTCCCTCGGGTGGAAAGTTCTTATGGGTTGACACTTGGAAGACCTCCCCTGCAAGAGAAACTCTCACCTCACGTGAATAAATGCCTGTATGCTCCCCTCATGGTCCAGTCTAGGAGAGAAGTGGAGCAGTGGGGACTGCTCAGCCTGGTCCCAGTCCAGCCTGCAGGATGGGAGTGGAGCACAGTAGGCAGGAAAGACTCCCTGATGTGAAGAAGAGCAGGGAGTCTTTCCCTGCCACTCCAGTCCATCCAGGAATAGGACCAGAGCAGCCACTATTCCCCACATCTTCCCCAGACTGGGATCATCATGGTTTTGGGAAAGTGCAAGGAATCATAAGAGGGGGTGTGTAACAGGAGGGCAGTCAGGGTCGCCGTGCTCTCCCCTGCCGCCTCCTTTACCATGCCAAGTTGCCTACAAGCACCCTCAGATTCTCACCCGCCATGACTTTGATGTCATATGTATTTTATAGGGAGGCTGCCCTTCGTACTCTTGGTCATGGTTCTCTTGTTACCACTTGTCCTGTTCCTGTATTGGGTGTTCTGTACACCCAGCCTTATGGGCTATGCGTGGCTCCAACCACCCCTGTAGCACGCCCCAAGCCTCGCAGATGTAACCGACGTTGTTTGGTCTTTCTCTCCAAGCCCTCTCCGGCGCCCCCCCTCTCTCTGGGGCTTCTCGCTGCCCCCCCTCTCTCTGGGGCTTGGGTCAGTGTACCCTGAATGCTGCACCCTCACTGGTGCTGGGGTCCCCACACTGCTGTGAGTCCCCTATGAGGCCTCCTCCAACCACTAATAGCCTTACCCAAACCACCGGTTACAAACAGCGAACGAAACACAAGCCCCTGGGCTACAACACAAACTCCAGCCGTCCAGCTATAACATTAATCCAGCCACCCATCCTGGACGGTGCTCCATCCTTTACCAGTCTTATTGCTGATACATTCAGGCCTCTGCTTGTGCAGGCAAAGCTCCTTCCTCCTTGTCTGCCAGCAGGGAACTACCTCCTGCCTGTGATTTATACTGGAGACAGGCCCTGCCCCTTCTTGTCAGCTGGCTAGGCAGGTATGGGTCATTAGTTCCCTCTAATTGCCTCAGCAACCAGCACCTGAGGAGTTATCCCGGCTCTCCAAGTAGCAGGCACCTTAGTGCCCTGCTACAGGGTGGCTGCAGGTTGCATGCTGGTACTGTGCCTTCTCCAGAAAGTATTTTTAGCAGTAAAATGTTTTCAGATATTTTCACTGGTAGAAATGAACACACTTGTACCCAATGTTACCTTGAGTAGAAGACCCATTTAACTGTATAGTGAAGGCACACCCCATAAAAGAAAAGCTTGCAGTGACTGGATAAATTCTTTTCTCCCAATTTCACTCTAGATATTTTGTCTCTTGTGCCAATGGGCCATATGCTTGAACTGCCACATGCACCAACAGGGTCTCCTATCCCCTCCTGCACTCTTCTCTTCTTTGTCTGTCCACTGAGCTAATTCCCTCTCAGCATAACCTCACAGAGTAGATATAACCAAAGTTAGTAGCAGTGATCCTGTTTTTTCCTCATAAAAAAATCACAAATTCTCCAATAAAAAAAATTAAATTGCAAAATCTCTTCTAAAAACCCCAAAACCCGTGATTAAAATTAAAGGCCCCACACAGCCCCCACCCTTCCCCCCGGCCCTGCTTGTACTCCACACTCCCTCCACAACAGTCCCCCAGTCCTACTCACTCCCCCCACAACAGCCCCCCAGCCCTGCTCGTGCCCTTCACAACAGCCCCCCAGCCCTGCTCATGCCCCTTCAGTCCCCCCACAACAGCTCCCCAATCCAACTGGTGCCCCTCACTCCCCTCCACAGCCTCCCAGACCTGCTTGTGCCCCTTGTTCCCCACACACAGCCTCTGCCCCCTAGCCCTCAAGGAGGGGGCCTCCACTGCACCACTCCGGGTCTGTGTGCCCCCAGCTGGGCGTCCACTCCATGTGGGGCTTTCCCCAACACTTCCCTGCTCCCTCAGCCAGCTTCCCACAGGAGTGTCCACCCGGCTGGCAGCACATAGATCCAGAGCGGCGTGCTATCCACCCTTCAGGGAAGACAGACATGGAGATGTGAAGCCTGCTCAGGCCAATACCATGCTGCTTGCACCCCAGCCCCCTGCAATCTCCATCTTCTTTCTTGGAGCCTGTGAGGTAAGGGAACCTGAGCCAAGCCTTGGGTGAGTGAGCGCCTCTGGCCCCATCCTTTCCCCCTCCCCCACCCCTCCAGACAGGGTTGGGGGTTTCCCACCCTTTTTGCAATCCACTCTTACAGGCTGGAACTCAGCCAGGCTGCAGAGCTCTTTGCAAAACCAGGAAATCCACAAGTTTCTCTGCTAAAAGGTAAAATCCATTTTTTCGCTGATAAAATTGGAAAATTCGTGGTTTTCTCTGTTTTTCCATGGGAAATGGAAAACCCAGATCCCTGGTTAGTAGTAATGTGAATTTAACCACCATCATATGTTTTAGTTTGCTTTATCCCTTTTCTACCTCATCCTTGTTTTCCCTATTCCAACTGTAATTTCTTTAAGAAAGGGACTATCTAACTCTGTTTGTAGTGTCCAGGTACAATGTCAACCCCTTCTTAGACACTTCCTGAACACTACTGTAAGAAAAAAGAAATCACATTGCAAAAAACTGCCTTATGCTGCTATTTTATTCCTCTGATTAACTGTTCTGGTTTACTAACAGTGCTAGAGATGGACATCCCTCTCTAGAGCACTGCTTCTCTAGCGCAGGCAGTGACAATTCACGCTTCTTCACCAACCTGTTCTAGCTGAGCCATAAATGTTAATGCAGTGTGTCTCTCTATATACATGAGGTTCATCCGTAATTCTTACCAAAGTGATTAAGTTTCATCCTTGCTTTACAAGTTTGTAAAAACAAAGCAGAGAGGTTAGGCACCTTGCCTATCACAGCAAAAGTTTTGCAGAGCAGGGAACATAACCCCTGACTCGAGTATAAGTCAGCACCCTTTCCTCTGTTCTTGAAAGCCTTTTAGAATTAAATATGCTATTTTAGGTAAAGACTTGTTAGAAAAATGCCTTAACTGGATCACCATCTACTAGACCTTTGTGTTTATCAAAAAAAGAAGCAATTTCTAGTATAGACTGAAGCTACGAAAACACAGGCCCTCTAGTACTGGAATATATAAACTGTAAGCAATGTTTGGCTGCCTATATATGTACTCAGAGGTGGGAGGGGGGCCGTTCCTGAACAGCCGCTCTAATTAAAATGGCTCACCATCAGGTATATTAAGCCCCATACCCCCAGTTTCAAAATGGCCATATGGGTGCTTTAACTAAAGCTCATTCAAAAAGGCTTAGTTAAAGTGCTCACATTGGCATTTTGAAATGTGGGGGAGCTTAATGCATGATGGTGAAGCAACGCTGGAGTGTTCTAATGAGAGTGTGAAGAAGCACATCTATAGGTAGCCTTTATTTTTCAGCTACTCATCTCCATCCCTTCCCAGGTGTTCTACATACTTTTCTGAAATCTGCCCAAACATAAAGTCCTCCAGAACTTTTGAGAACAGGTACTCCAATCTCCGAAAGACCATCCACAAGAATGTTCTGCGCTTCCTTAAGTCTTTTCTTGTTGGTAGGAAGAAACACATTATCCAACCAATCTAGCAAAACAAGAAAAAGATGAAAACTATTTATTTCTGAGTATTAACTGAACAATTAAATAAAGAAAATGAAAATATTTCTGGTTCTGCTAACCTCTGTCACTAAGGAATTGGCTAAGAACATATTGAACAGGTCCTGGGCATCCATGAAAAACAGCCAGCTGATTCACAGCTTTCCGAATTTCATGACTTCTGGTGTATAACACTCCAACTCTGAGACCACTCATACCAAAATCCTTGGAAGGCAAAAGGAAAAAAAGTTACACTGGGGTGTAAGGCTTCAGATTTACTAGGCATCTATATCTTAAACACTTAAGTAAAATTAAACAAAACTCCAATTTTGTCCCACATAAGTATGAAGAATGTGTTAGAAGAAAGTGAGAAACACATTTCATTCTGAGATTAAAAAGATAATTTTTAAAACGTTCTGATTAATATATGAACATTTTATTTTGCCAGGTTGCTGGATAGCTTAGCTTGCACTGACATTCAGATATAACTGACAGATGACAGAAAATCATCTAGGACAAGGCTGTCGAACTGGCAGGTCTCAGGCCACATGTACTGCTTCACCTACTGCTTTTTGCCCCCACTCCAGGGGAAGGGCAGAGTGGCCAAGCAAGTCTGCAGCATGGTATGGTGCAGCAGGGGGCATGCACTATGTGATGAAGGGTGGTGGGGATATGAAGTACCAGGGGCCACAAGGTACAGTGTGTGGGAGGTGGGGGGTGTGGGTGTGTGTGCATGCGCGTGTGTGTGTAGAGGAGGGGGAGAAGGGAGGGAGGATTTCCTGCTATATGGCACTGTGCTGTAGAGTGTGGCTTGTACATCAAGAGGCCCTGTGGTTCCTGGCTACTCAGAAATTGGACAGCTCTGATCTAGGACAGTCAGGTAACTGGTGAGGACAAGAGAGTTTGAAATTTTCAAATCTTACACTGAAGTGGATGATCTCATACACAGACGTTTTGCCTATCTGAATGCTTTCAGATTTGCTTAACAGACATTCACTAATGTAAATTGTTAAATACTTAACTAGGCAGTCCTGGGGATCTGTGTGTGGAGGATACTACCCTCAGTTCAGGAATCCTGAGGCAATGAGCATCCTGCTTATGCCTCAAATTTCCCACTTGACAGATGGCAATGATAGTTATTCCATTGATATGACGAACAGTTACCTTCTTCATGCTAAAGTTATGACTGCACAGAGAAGAGACAGAAACTGTCTCACCTTCCCCCTAAAGCTCAATCCCTAACTGCTGCTAAATAATGGTCTCCATAATCTATGATTTTGAAAAAGGCTAGAGTCTCCAAGGCTGTAAAACAGGAGGAGAGAGAGATCAGGATAAACTATCAAATAGCAAAATAGCCCAAAGTTTAGCTTGATTAATGGACAATTAAGATCATTAAAAAGAAGAGACAATTGTTAACATTTCTTGAGTGAAAAACAATGGGCCCTTCAGTCAACTGACTCCCTCAGCTACCTGAATAATAATGCAACAACTGCTGCACTGTGGAGCAGGAATCAAAGGAAAGTGTTTCTGTCCTGGTCAGAAAAATTGGCTTCCCCACTTAAAACATGCAACCCAATATTTTGGGGAAAGGTGTGTGTTGTTTGTGACAAAAATATGGTATTCTTATCAAGTAATTAGACCGCAATTACATGCACACAAAATATGGAGTTTAAAAAAATATTAAGAAGTTTTGTACTTTTTAACATCTGTCTCTGAACCAAGAGGTTCATGTTCCAGTTGTCATAGTATATATCTAGTCCAAGATTGCAGGAAGAGAAGAATGCATGGAATTGTAGATTATGAAGAGACAAGAGGACAGAGTTCAGTTTATAGTGCAACTTTAATGTCGTCATTTTCTGATTTCTGCTCATTAAACAAGTGCCTTTACTGTTCCCCAAGAAAAGTTTTTTAATGCTATATGTTTTTAGATCTAGTACCAGTAGCCAAACATCATCTTCACATAGTATACCTCTCCTTGAGATATATCAGAAAGGAAAGTACATTTTTTTTTGAAGACTGTAAAATCTGGTATTTAAATACTTCTACACATTCTAGGCAAACAAAGTTCTTTGGGTAAATGTGATATCTTTTATTGGACCAACTAAATAGTTGGAAAAACTGTTCTTTACAGGCTTTGGGCAACAAACACCCTTCTTCAGGCATAGGGAGAGTCTGCTGGTGTTTTTTGTACTCTCCTGGGTGCAAAAGAAGCTTAAGCCAGTCTGGAAAATGCAGGTCTGTGGAAATGTAAATGTGTGACAGGGAAGATCAGAAGGGATGGGAGTTAATGGGTGAGAGACATTACATACATTGCACACCCCCTTCACACATTTTAAAACTCTCATGGAACTGGCCTTTTCAATGTAACAATATTTTCAAGAAAGGAAAGGCCTGTTACTACAAGATGCAGAATATGTTTAGTTCTTCCAGCCCAAAGAGTAAAATTATTCTAGTGGGATAAAACCAGCTGGTACCTAATTCTGCTAGACACCAGGCATCTTCAACTTCTAAATCAATAGGATTTAAGGATGTTCAATGTTTTGCAGGACTGGGTCAAAATAATATATACACATTAAAGCTAGAATAACATCAGCCAACATGGACAGATATAGCAACTGGGCTAGAAGTGCCCCCATAAACATGGCGCACTTCCTGGTTTTAGTCTGCTACTTGAGATGAACACAAGGGATTCTTGCTCACAAAAAGACACAATTTACATGTGCAATTACAGTGCCTGAATAAACTGCAGAGCTTACGGCTCCAGAATCAGTTGCTCCCAGGTGCATCATTTGAACATTTGCCCGGGAGCAACTGACTCCAGAGCAATAAGCTTCACAGTTTATTTAGGTGCAGCACATGGAGCCTGGGTAGAGCAGCTCTGGCTGGGAGGGCAATGGGGGTCAGCTTGCAGGCCTGGGACTGCTATACCCAGCGCAATGTGCTGCAGAGGGGCTGACTGGGGCATGAGGGAGGGATGATATAGTTTGGAATGGTTCTGCTTTAAGCAGGGGGTTAGACTAGATGGCTTCCTGAGTTCCCTTCCAGCCCTAATTTTCTATAATTCTATGATTCCCACAATACTTTTCAAATTACATATTAGCGGTATCTTTCCACAAATAACATGCAGAGATTTTGCATGTGAAATACTGAACTAATTGGAACCATTTAAGGGCTCAGCAAAACTTTATCACCTTTATGGTTACAATGTTCATGATCATCAGATTCAGGAAGAATATAAAAAGGCAAAAATAATTAGCAGACAGTAAGTGGGAAGAGTTAGCAAGCCCACAGGAGTTGTTAACTTAGGAATTGTAAAAATAGAGAGTTTTAGAACACCATTTTTGAAGCAGCATACACATTAAACTAAAATATCCAACTGTAGAAAGTGACAGATATTCTGAGATGGGGACAACTGAGTCTGAGAGGTCAGGCTACTTGAACCAATTACCCTGCAAATCAGAGGCTGCAGAAGGATAACAACTTGGGTGTCCCCAGTTCATTGTCCCATGCTTTGTTTCCCAAACCATGCTATTATTTCTGACCCAAACTCCGCTTCCTTGTTTTAGTAGGCAAGAGGAGGTAGAAAACCAAACCAAAAGCAGTTTTTAAATTTGAGATGGGAGAAATTATAGCAACTGTTTAACTTCCAAGTGCTCTATAACATTCATTTCTAGTTATTTCTTTTATAAGCAGAATATTTTATAAAGTGCATGTGCTGCTCTATATAAGTGATAAAAAGGCTTTCTGTTATTTTGTCACTAAGTTGGTAAAACTGTCTTGCTACTTCAAACTGGCAGCATGTAATCTGTGTGAAACAAATAATGGCAACAATCCAGAAAGTGTTAAAGTAGATCACAAGACAATAAGCTCTAACCTCCAATGTATTTTGAAGTTACTAAGTAAGAGCAATATATATATCAATGATGCATATTGCATCATAACATTCCAAGTTATTCTATGGAAAAATATCCCCTTGAAAAATGTAGACACAACAATTTTGACCTACCTTGCTAAAGCCCCACATAAAGTGTGTCCGTTCTGGATCTGGTAAACTGGAGGGGGGGAAAAAAGTTTCACACCTATAATTGCACCTTTAAAGATCAGCATCACAATTTCTCTCAGACTAACTAGAATAAGTGATTTTCAAATTGAAACATTTGTAGAAAAAGATTACAATCATTTATAAGTATCAGAATGATTAAGGCTAAAACACACATATAAGATGGAGATATGATAAAATAATTTGTAAGACTTCTGTCAACTTTATAAATTTTATATTGAATGCTTTAACTTCAGCCTGTGTCAGACAGCTACAGAAAAACCCACTCCCAATTTTTTCACTGCTCATCTGCAAGTAGAATACAAAAGATCTACCTTCAGGATAAAACACCATTGTATATAACCAGAGGCCTGCATATAAAAATTAGACTGCTAATGTCAGCAGTCTGAACATGTGGTACATGTTCCAGTTCATAGATCATAGAGAAACAGGGTTGGAGGAGACCCCCAGAAGTCATCTGGTCCAACCCCCTGCCTGAGCCATGATCATCCCTACTCAAACTACTGGTATTATAAAAAAAATACACTTACCAGTCTAAGCTTAGAACACTGGTGAAGGTGATATCATCATAAACAGACAGCATGTATATTTCATCCATTATTACATGTAATTCATATCTATGTACAGAAAGATAAAAGAGTTGTTAAATTATTTAAAATTCAAAGCTTTAATGCATTTCCATGTGCTTATTAGCATTATTCTCACCATTGCAAAGCACCTATAAACCTACCTATTTATGCCATTATACTCACCCCAGAGACGTTTTACCAAAACTAATTCTTATTTAAGACTACAAATTTCAGTTTAAGCACTTGCAGACTACTAATATCCATTTGCATATCATGTTTCCCAGCAGAAAAACCTGCAATGTCTGAAATCCTGGTACATGCTAAGAATGCCTCCAAAAAACAGAAGCAATCCTCCCAACCCATTATTTAAAATTAACACAAGCATGGCAAGATAGTGTTCCCCTCTGCCCTGCAAAACTTATTGCAACACAACACAAAATGAGTGCAGTTAGATCATTAAGACTCGCCATGCATTTGAGATATCTTCTATTAAATCCCCATTGTGAAAGCCACATGACACAGCAAGTTGTGCTATTTTACTTGATACCAGAAAGCCTTGGATATTTTCAGAAGTGAAATCCATGGCAGAATGCCTTTTAATATCCAAGAAGTGCAGGTATTTCAACTGAGTAGAACCTCAGTTTTTTGTAGTTTGTTTCTATACTTTTAAAAGAAAATCCAGTTTCAGAACACAATTCTTGGTTTGAAAATTTAAGTAATTTTTATTTTATTAACTGTTTTCCTCTAAAATATTATTTTGCCAACTAGAGGCCTGTAGATTCTGCTAGAAAAACAAACATTTGCAGCCTTCAGTACTAACATTTGAGAAGTTCCAAGAACTATCCCAGCTGCCATAATTATTTTTATGGAGAAGTCACCCAAATATGGGTGCTGTATGATTAAAAACAAACATTCTTGTTCTGAAAGAAAAAAAAACCAAAAAAACCCCAAATATTTTTTGTGAAATAGGAACTGGCTTAAGGCCAATTTCTATTCTATCTTGTTTCTAGTGATTCTTGTTTCTAGTGAAGTAGAACTTCCAATTAAATACATTAAGTTAAGCTTTAATATTTAACCAGGAGTCTACATGTTGCAAATGCCTTTTTTCCTATTAGTATCTACAGGCTTTAGTTTAGGAGATTATTAGGCCCTAAATTGACAAGTAAAGATGAAAGGGGGAAGAGACTGTTTGGAGGATGTCTTTCTTTCAAGAAGAGTAACTGGGATATACATCCCAAACTACAAAGGGTACCTAAACAATTGGATCCTTCTCCAGCCAATTGAATGACTTTTTTCCACAATGCCAATTTGAGGATCAGTTGTTCAAATGACAGTTCTATCCATGCTATACACTCTTGCTGCTAAAGACTTTGGTAATCACCCGTTTTATTTTTCTGACACATGCATTAAAGGACAGGTTAATGAAAAAAATTAGGTAAACAAGAAAGCTTTATCTGTGTTAAACTGCACATAAAGCCAATTCTCATCAGTTATTCATTCAGAAGTATCATCTTTATTTCCCAGAAAGGCCACATGCAAAGGATAATTGTGAGATAAACTCTATAAAGGAACCCCCTCCCAGTGGAACATACACCAAATGGAACAAACAGGAGATTACCAAAGTTGATTTTCAAAACTAGCATATTGCATCATGGAAAATTAAATCCCAAACAAATAGCGCTAGGACTCAAACCTGTGCGCAAACTCTAGACATTCTTTCAGTAACTGTGCTGGGTAAATGTCCCCTAATGGATTGTGAGGGTTGATCAGGATTAATGCTCTGACTCGGATGCCCTGAAAAAAGAAAAACTGATAGTCGGAGACGCCAACATGACGTCAAACAAAGGACTAGAGAGGCTATAAAATTGCTAACCCTTCAATAGAAAGCTAACTAACAAAAAGTTAATGATTGCATCTGAACATACATGATCTTTCATTAATAAGCCTTTAAAAACAGAATGAAGTTTCAGCAACATGACTTATTTACTAGTTTACCCAACATTTCCACTTAATAATCAGCAAACACATATACTGGCTTGTTGGCAAATGTAAATCAAAATTAGTCATAAGTCAATAAAAAGATGAATATTCATAGGCAGGATTACAACGCAGAATGGACCAAATTCTACTGTGTTACACTGGCAAACTTTTAGAATGATTTTTTAGTCCAGCAGAGTAACTAAGCTTACACAATGACCAATATAAAGTAGAATGTGGACCTTCATTTATACCAACTCATTGAGAAGTGTTTTTTCCTGCTATTTCTTTTTTTAAAGGAAACAAAAATGGAAATAAAATTCTAAGAGAATCCTACATAGTAGAGGTTTAAAAAAATATTATCTCTTGCCATCTTAGGAGGCATTTAGAAAAGTTAAAACAAATGCCAGCTTAAATTATTATTATATACAAACTGCACTGAATGACCAGGGAGGAAAAATAGGTTTGAATTAGAACCCCTTGAAGAAATTAGTTTTTTTCTTCTTAGTATAAATAGACTGTAAGTACCCTCCTGTGTAGAGGATAAAACCCTGCATAACAACCCTGCATAACAACACAAAACAACAAGCATGCTACTATAAATCATATTACATAACATAACATTTTAAGTGTAGTGGGACACTTCAGAGTCACTTGAATACAAGATGTGGTTCCCTTCCCTCACCAATCAAATGTACACCAATCAACATGGTGTACATTTGCACACAAGCAAACTTCATAAAATACATTGTCTAGCATTAAACTGCTGCCAAAAGCAGTACATTCTCAGTAATGGAAACCACTTATGAAGTTGATTAAATGTAGCCAACACTGAGCATGACTACAAAACACATGGTCCATCTGGCCCAAACAATGATGGGAACCCTTTTTTGTGGCCCTTAAAACAAATGTGCAGTTGCTCCCCCAGGAGGAAACTGGCACCAAGCCTGGAAGTAATGCAATACCAGGCTGACACAGAGAGGCTGGAGCAAATTCTGACACCCTCCCCTGGTGCCAAAAAATGCTGATGGGAACCTACCAAAAGGATAGGTTAGTGTACCCCATCTGATCTATGCTAGTGCCCACAGCACTCAATTCCCCTCAGCACTGACTCTTTTTCAAGTCATGATAAGACACTCCACTGAATATATTTCAGTGTTCTCTTCACTATCAGCTGAGTTGTGCTTTTCTTTTCCATTTCTAGCAAGTCCCATTTCTTCACCAGCCTGAAATGCCTGGCAAACATCACCAAATGGGGCCCCAAACAGTTTACCCATCTCTCAGCCTGTCATAAAATCTAATTATTGGATTGTTTTATATTTGGGACCATCTTATATTTGAGTAAAAATGGTATTTTCTATAGTCCCTCCTAAAACCTTGAATCACATTTTTCTTTGACAAATCCTGCACTGAATACTAGCAAATTGTGTAATGATAACAGGAAGAATAGATTTCTCTGTTCAATCACTGCATCAACATGAAGAATTACCACTCTAACCAATGTGAATGATGATGAGCTATTTTTGTAGAGAACTTAATCATTGGATGACTTTTCACTTCTCTTGCCCCCTTAAAAGAGAGAGCAATTACTTGAAATGCAAAACTATGCAGGACTTCTATTGCAAATAAGAAGAAAGGTTAAACAAAAAAACATACATGTATTTTCATTGTATGGGAAGTCTAGGCTCTGCTCTACCCTTAATTTAACATAATCACATTAACTTTATTGTGGTTATGAACCAAGTGAAAAATAAACTGTTGCGTTGGTAGTTTAGGGCTTGTCTTTATGGGGAATTCATCGCAAAATAAGCAGGATGTGAACGTGTTGCACAACAACCATTCTAAAAGAACACCTTCTTGGATACTCTTATTCAGCAATGCTGTGCTTATTTGTAGATTAGCATGCTCCATTTCTAAAGCTGATGAAAGCTTAACAGAACCACAAGGAACCCTTAGTAAGGAATGAGAATATCCACAAAGAGAACTGTTACAGAGATACTGTTTTTCAATAGTTAGTTTAATCCTCCATTTAAATAAGCTTTTACAGGAACATACCAAAGGAGATATTAGTAACGCAGTCCTTGAAAATAACTTCAGTTCTACCAGTATAAGACAGAGATTAGGGCTGTGTGAAGCTTTGGTAGCCGATTCGATTTGGAGGAGATTCGACCCAATTCGGGGACTGAACCTCTGAATTCAAATCGAATAGGGAGACCATGTAAAAACCTCTGAATCAATTTGAAGCATCCGAATCAATTCAAAAAAATTTCGAAAAAGATTTGGCCGATTTGGAGATTCAGCCACAGATTAAACAGGCAGCTGACAGCTGCCTCCAGCTGGTAAGTTTGTTGGGGTTGGGACTGGGACAAGTTGCACAGCTGGGGTGGGGAGGAGGTGTGACTCAGGGAAGGGGGTGAGGGGGATGCGGGATGCAGGTGCAGCTTGTTCCAGGCGGAAGAGGGCAAGTGGCAGCAGGGCATAGCCAGTTCCTAGAGCTGCCGTGCCTGCATCCCGTGTCTCCTGTGCCAGCTGGCAAGCGGCGGCAAGGCAGACCCCCCGTTCCCAGAGCTGATGCGGGTGTGGCAGTGCTTGGACCAGGGGCTATGCCTTGCTGCCACCTGGAGTGAGCCACGCCTGCATTGTGCCCGCCCCGCACTGGCTGGGCAAGCAGCAGCATGGCATAGCTCCTGTGGCTCCTTCCGCTGGCGCAGAGGCAGGCACAGACAGAGGAACCGCAGGAGAAGCCCCCATGGCTGTCCTGCCTGGTCCCATCTCCCGTCTGGCCCAGGCTCCCGGCACTTTAAAAAAAAGAATAAAAGCCCCACACTCACCAGCTCTGGTAGCAGCAATCGGGGGCCTCTGAGGGCTCATGGCAGAGCTCCCCTGCGCAGTGCGGGGGGCAGCGGGGATCAACCCCCCTCCCACTTTGCACCCGCATGGCAGCTGCCCCATGGTGCAGGTGCAGCGTGGCTTGGCAGGGTGCTACACACTGCCTGGGAGCTGGGGCAGCTCCAGCAGTCAGCCAGAACCCAGCAGCGCTCAGCCCCAGCTCCCACAGAGCACGCAGCGCCCTGCTCAGCTGCACTGTACCTGCGCCACGGGGCAGCTGCCATGTGGGTGCCAAGTGGGGGAGGGGCGATCCCTGCTGCCCCCCACTGCCCCGAGTGGCGCAGGGAGGCTCAGTCACGAGCTCTCAGAGTCCCCTGATTGCCACTGCCAGAGCCGGTGATTGTGGGGCTTTTCTTTTTTTTAAAGCTCCACAATCACCGGCTGCGGGTACGGCGATTAGGGCCTCTGGGTGCTCATGGCAGAGCCCCACTGTGCAGCACGAGGCAGTGGAGAGGGTAGTGGGAATCACCTCCCCCCCCCCCCCCCCCCCCAAC